ATTGTAAGAACTTTGGTAAATGTCTCAATGTGCCCCCGGTACAACAATAATTTTTAAAAGTGATACACGTTCAGTAGAAACTGTACATCAACATTTTGAAGTTTGGGTTCACCTTGAACTTTGGTCTTGCCCCAAAGTTGTATTGTAGTGATGATGCAATACTTTCTCATGATTTGGGGCAGTAGCAATGAGCCACAGGCCCCAGCAGGCACTTGATCACAAGTAGAAACAACCATGCTCTACAATGTACTGTGTAGGTAGCATTTTTTAATGTTGTGTTTGTATTTTTGCATCCAATGATGTCTACAAATTATATATACCTGGCCGGGCACTGGTAGTTCATATCTCTAATCCTACTTGGGAGGCTGAGATCAGGAGGATCAAGATTCAAGGCCAGCCTGGACAGATAGTTCATGAGTTCCCATCTCCAAAATAACCAGAGCAAAATGGACGGAGGTGTGGCTTAAGTGGGAGAGCACCTGCTTTGTAAGCTCAAAGCCCTGAGATCAAAATCCAGTCCCACCAATATATATATACATACATATATACATAATATATATACACATACATATATACATCCGTGTCTCTCATATTTGTACTATTGTTTTTTACTTTCAGCACAGTATTTCATAAATTACATGAGATATTCAACATTTAAGTTTAAAATTGACTTTGTGTTAGTTGCATTTTTAATTTACAACATTTTCAATTTTTTATGTGTTTATTGGGAGTATATGTAAAACTTCCTGATTCACAATTTTATCTGCAAACCAGATATGTGAATGAGTCAACTGTTTTTGACATGTGGAAGTCATACAAAATAAGCCACACATATAAGTCATTGTTATTAATTTTCTTTGTCTTTTACTAGGAGACTGACATGAAATGACTGGGTTGGTTTCAAAAGTATAGAAAATCATACTTTGTGGATACACTTTTTTTTTTTTTAAACAAATGTGCATTTTGCCTTATTTATTTTCTGGTGCTGAGAATTAAACCCAGGGCCTCATGCATGCTAAACACACACTCTACCACTGAGCTACACTCCCAGCCCGATATACTTTTCTTAAAGTATTGCTCTAAATCGTGAATATAGACAATTTGCTACTTCATGAAATGAAATCCCACCTGTACTTCAACTAGATGACATCAGCATTTAAAAATTGATAACAAAAGGCTGGGGACCTGACTCAAGTGGTAGAGTACCTGCATAGCAAGAGCGAGTACCTGAATTCAAATCAAATGTTGGTGCCACCAAAACAAACAAACAAACAAAAAAACCAAGCCGGGCACAGGTGGCTCATGCCTATAATTCCAGCTACTCAGGAGGCAGAGATCAAGAGGATTATGGTACAAAGCCAGTCCGGGCAAACAGTCCCACGAGATCCTATCTCAAAAAAACCCATCACAAAAAAGAGCTGGTGGAGTGGCTGCAAAAAAAAAAAACCAACAAAACAAACAAGTTAACTAAAGATCCAAATGTTTCTATATAAATTACAATGAAGCTAAGTTCATTCCTTAATATACTCATAAAAGTGATTTTTAAGCTTAAGATACTATAACACTCCCATTACATTTTATTTTAGACTTTTTAGCATGGTTATTGTTTTTTTGTGGTGCTGGGATGGAACCCAAGGTTTCAAAGTGTATGCTAGGCAAGCACTATATGACAGAGCTACAATCCCCACCCCCTTATCATGGTATTTTAGATAAATCAGTTAATTTTATTAGATGCATGGGAATGAAATCTCAATGAAACTGTAAAGATTATATAGTCTGATTTGTAAAACTTTTATTGGTAAATCAGTAAATCCAGAGAGAATAAGATCTTTGCTCAAGCTTGCTAATGACAGATAATACAAATGCTGAAATCTTTGTATCTTTTCTAACATGCAATAAATAAGCTGTTCATTGCTGAGCCACCTCCATTTCTCTAGCGAAATCAGCCATGAGGAACAAACTACTCTGTGGAGACATAGACTCAAGTAAGAATTTTTGCTTCAGCTCTGCCTCTTCATACTTCAACAAGCAAATCTGCAGAGAACTGCTCTTGACTTCTAGTCTGTTGACTCACTAGAACAAAAGCATCTATAAATCACATTAAATTATCAATACTGCAGCAATTGCACACTGGAACTTTTGTGGGTCCTTCAATATTACTAAGAGTAGTTTCCCATATGTCCTCCTTTTTACTCCACAAAGTCCAGTTGCTAATTTAATCCTGTGTCTGTTTTCCTTTTACCTTGGAAGGGGAGATCTCAGACAAACATACAGCTTGTGTATATCCTGACATACACTTTTATTTTTATTCTAGGAGGTAGAGGTGAGAATAGTTTGTGAGATGTGGGAGAATTGCCTCTCCTTGCAAACTGATACTCATTTCAAATTACTGTGAAAATTAAAAAATGAGTATTATCAAACCTAACAAAAATTCCTTTTTTTTCTTTTTTTGGTGGGACTGAGGTTTGAATTCAGAGCTTCACACTTGCAAGGCACATGCTGTACCACTTGAGCCACACCTCCAGCCATGAGATGGGATCTCATGGCTATTTGCCTAGGTTGGCCTTGAACCCTACTCCTCAACAGGTAGCTAGGATTACAGGTGTGAGCCACTGGCGCCTGTCCAAAGATTCCTTAATCATCCACTATCCATTCTATGTGTAATTTTCTCCATTTGTCTCAAAAATATCTTCTTAAAAGTTTGTTTGATTTAGAATCCAAACAAGATTAACATTACATTTAATATGTGTCTTTTACTACAAATAATGCTATTAAGAAGATTCTGAAAAAGAAAAAAGATTCTGTAAGGATATGTGAAACATTAACTTCACTATTTCTGAAGTTTTCCAAAGTGATTGTATCAGTTTCATTCCTACAGTTTATAAGAAATCCAACTTCTTCCACTTTTGTCAGACATTTTAACATTTGCCTGTGAAGAAATGAGATATGAGCCTAGTTTTCAAATAATGTATAATCAAATGTTTTATAAACATTTAAGGCTCACTGGAGATAATTGTACACCCTGTACTATCTGAAAGTCACTGTTTTAGCTCCTGAGTACCTCAGGTTCTTTCTATTATTTATTTTTGTTTTGTTTTGATGCTAGGGAATCAAATCTGGGGTTTACCGCATGCAAGGCATGCACTCTACCACTGAGCTACACTCCCAGCCCTTTATTATATATTAATGAAAGAATGAAGAAGACAGATAATTATGGGCTATTTAGTGTTTCCAAGAGAGGATATAACTGGTATTGACTTTTTCCTCTTGTGAAGATCCTTTTAACACATATGAAACCCATGGGACCAGATATTAGTTCCACCTTGGGCAATGCCAGAATTCCTGTCACCACTTTTCTTCCTCCTAAGTATCTGTCCTGGGTCAGGTTATTTGCTCTGATGATGCCATAATGCTGTGTTTGTGGGGTCATCTGTTGTCACTTACACCTTTAGAGAGAATCAGCTGTTAAGCAAGGTAAAACTTAAGATAGTAAAGCCTATCTTAAGCAATTTTCTGAGCCCATAAGGGTAGAGATCTCTAGAAGAAATTTTATTTGAAAGCTTTTTTCTATAAGCTTTCCTCTTTCGTTGGAATATGTGGGGTTTACCCACATATTGACAGCACAACTGGACTAACACCTGATAGTCTTCTGCTGATTCTGGTTTCCAAGAGCAGACTTACTCAAGGACACAGTCATTTTGCACAAAGGGAAAACCAACCCATTTCTGGCAAAAGAGTGGAAGTCTGAGAGAAAGAAGAGTATACCAAATCAACTTCCTCTCTTATGAGGAAAAACAGTGTGTTTAATATTATCCCATAAAATAACTGGGATATTTTAAAGTTCTTTTTCCTTTTTTTTCTTATATTCATATGTGCTCTTTTTCCTTTTAGAATACACTTCACATTATGGATGTTCCCAGAGAACATCATGCTCTATTCTCAAGTGTGAAGAATATCCTATATTGGTGTTATGTTTTTATCTTAGAGAAATGTCTAAAAGGAAAACCGAGTCAATAAAATGACAGATTTTAAACTTTAATTCTGGTAAAATAAAAGTCTTCTACTCAATGTGTCAGCCACCTTGATTTTTTTTTTTTTTTTAAGATAGAACGCGAGTTTTGGCTTCCATTTTCCCCTTATAAACCAGTGACATCTTCATTTCAGTTCCGGAAGATCATTTTAAATGTGGCTTCTGATGTTGGCAGAATTGGTTCATTCCTAGAATAAATTCTGTATGCTCAGCATTTCCTACCCAAATTCATCTGTAGGTCGCATGATTACAAAACTTCCCACCACGAAATAGGCTGAAGAGAATCCGAATATAATAGAAAGTATAAAAGTGTGTATTATAACGTGACGCTGGTATATTGAAAAAAATTCATGCTTAGGGTCAATTCTCTAAGTTTAGACTGCCATAACAACAATAGCTATTATTAGTATACGCGAAATTTAAAATTGAGGGGTTGGGGTAAGGGAGCAGAAATCGCGCACAAAAGAAAAACTTCAAAATTCGCTCTCCGCTTTCAGGCAAGTTTCAGCTCTACAAATCTAAATGCCTTTGCCTTTAAAAGACCAGAATGGTGTTCAGCTCCCAATCCCGTTTACAAGGGAACCCCAAATTAGGAATAGGAGGAGGTTTCCAGGTCCGCAGACCAGAAAGCAGCCCCAAGGGAAGTTTTATCTGCTCCCTTGATGCGGAAAGACACGGGGAAAAAAAACCTGTAACCGTACACCTGTCGTTAGAAAGACGAAAAACTCCCCATGGACACAAACACCATCAGGATCTCGCAAGGCAGAGCCAAAATCAGCCACCGAGGTCTCGCTAAAACTGGAGCGGCGCCTCCCATGACTCCCGGATAGGGATGGGCCCAACGCGGTGTGACCTGGGGTACCCACAGCGCCATTTACCGCGCCCCCGCCCCGCCCCCGGCACTCCGCGCACCAGCCAATCCCCTCCCGCCATCCCCTTCCCATCGGAGGCTCCGCCCCCCGCGCCCGGGATGTTGGGCCCCAGCGGCGTGACGCGAGCACGGCGGCTCCGCCCCCTGCGTCTCTGGCCTCGCTGGCCTTGCGGGGATGGTTCCATCATGGCGTCAATGCAGGTGAGAGGAGTTTGCTGCATCTGGGTGGGCGAGGGAGCCGCCGAGAGGGTGCGAGCGTTCGGGCGGGGGCGGTGTCCAGGACTCCGGGATACCCGGACTGGCTGCGGAGGGGTCCCAGTGGCCGGGCTTCCGCCCTCCCCGGGGCGTGTGGAAGGGGCGAGGTGGCAAAAGAGGAAGGTGTGTGTGTGTGTGGGGGGGTGGTCCTCAGTCTGTCGAAGCGGACACCAGCCGGCCGGGAAGTTGGGGGATAAAGAAGGCTTAGGACAAGGAAGGGTGAAGTTTGGCGTTGGTTCCGAGGTGGTGGTCTCGAAATCGCCGCCCTGCGCGCACAGGCGGCGGCTGTTGTCTCCCGGTCAGCCCCAGGGATGCCTTTTTCGCCGCGGTGCCCGGCCCGGCGGAAACAGCTGCGCCCGCCGTTGTCACCGGGGCCGGGCGGCCCGGAGAGGGGCTGCGGGTGGAGTGGGGGCCTGGGAAAGCGTCCCCTGAGCCGGCGGCTGCCTGCAGACGGGCTTAGCGGCCTCTGCCAAGGCCTCCCACGCCGGGCAGCTTGGCCCTTCGCTGGCTCTCCTTTGACTCAGTCCTTTGCCCCGTGGGTACCTTCTTCTATCAGTCTCGCACTCACCGCCATCTCCCCCGCCCCAGCTGTCCCTGATCACCAGCATCTCCTGCTGCCTAACGTGCAAGCTCCCTAGCCTTGTCTCTAGCCCCGGTAAAGCCTCCCGGGGTAACTCGGCCTCTTAATTTTTTTTTCCGATGCCCCACCCTTGCGGTCGTTAAGGCTGTAGCTCTTTGCGCTTCTTCCCCAGACCTTTAGTGGAGCCTTAGTTTGGTAAGGAGTGTTTGTTGACCTCTGTCTTATCAACCTGACTTGGCAGTACATGGTTTTCTTGCTTTCCAACTTAATTTCCAGCCCCCCCCCCCCCCCCCGCCCTCCAAATCCGGGGAGTTTGTTTTTTTTGGGCAAAGATGGCAACCACCATTGTAATTTTTTAGAGATTGAATTATCTGTAGACTGCGTTTAATTCACAGATAGACTAGCGGTATTAAAACATGTAGGTTAGTGTCAACTGAATGCCTTTTGGAGTTTTAATAACATGCCTTAAGTAAAGAAAGATACCGAGTTTTCTTAGGATTTTTTGCTTTTGTTCGTAAAAGAATAAGCAAATCTGTCTTTTGGGTTTTTTCTCTCTTCTATGACAGAAGTATTTTTCCTTCTCTTTTCTGTGTCTTCCTCTTTTGTGCAGATATCTTTTTGTTGTTTTTCTCATTATTCCTTTTCAACCTGTTTTTCCTTACAATATTCTCTTCACCTTTGCTTCTCCCTCTGGTCTTTCCTGCAGAACAATAAAATTGCATATAGCATTTCTAATTGAAGAGATGTCACGAAATGGTGCAGTGAAAAACAAGAACAATTTCAGGAAACATTATACTTTACACTCGCCTCCCCAGAGATGTTAGAGAAGTTTCGTCATTTGAGGCCAAAAAAGGAACCGTGGAACACCAGTTGAACAGTAGATGAGCTATATGACTGCTTTAAGATTTTTATCTGTATTAACATTAAAACATTTTTATTATAACCTGGTTTAGGATTATTAAGATAAATATGTTATTTTAAAATTAAGATAAAAATTTACACTCCTGATTATATTTTGACAAGAGAGCAGTATTAGCTGGTTAGATTTACACTTTGGAAAAGGTAGGGTTTTTTTTGTTTTTGGTTTTGTTTAGGCTTTTTTGGAGGCACTGGGATTTGAACTCAGGACTTCACACATTTGCAAAGCAGGCACTCTCCCAGTTGAATCACACTGCCAGTCCATTTCTCTCTGGTTATATTTTAGAAATGAGATCTTCTGAACTATTTGCCCAGGCTGGCCTCAAACCACAATCCTTTCAATTCCAGCCTCCTAGGTAGCTAGAATTATAGGTATAAGCCAACGGTGTGCCCAGATAGCAGATTTGTTTTTAAGAGAGATGTTGAGAACCTTGAATTTTACATAGTGATTTTAAATTGTGAGGAAAAAAATGGTAGTGCATTTTTCTGGTCTTAAGGTCTGTCTCAGACTTAGCATTGTCCTGTCTTTATTCCTTTGTCTTCTGAGTGGAAGTGGAATACTGATGCTTCCAGTCAGAATAAAACTAAATCTTAAACTTATATTTGTATTTGAAAGTAATCTGATAAGATTTTCTGGAAATATCTTAAAAATAATATAGATAAATCAATCTTTTTGAAACATAATACTACTTTGTGTACTATTATTTCTGTGTCTTTGTACAGAGTTTCCTAACCATCTTAATGGCAGAGGTTAGCACTTTTCAAAATAACTAAGTTATACATAAAATTACAACTAACATATCAAATGTGTTCTTTCACTCAGCAAGTATTTTTTTAAGGAGCCACTGTCAGACACCTAAGTAGGTGCGAGGAGTACAGCCATACAGATAGGTTTTTGTGGATTTAATAGTCTAGTGGAGGGGGTCAGCATAAGAACAAAGTACTGAATTGTGTATTATATTACAAGGTGATGGTGCTCTGGAGAAGCCTTGTGGAAGTAGGTTAAGAAATGAAAAGTTTTGGGCATTTCAATTTGGAAAAATGTATGATGAGGACACAGAATGGTGGTCTGTGGCCTCATCTAAAAATCTGTAATAGATTTCTTTATCTTACATATACCAGGATATTACTGCTATTGAAGATGAGGTTACTTAAGCTTCAAGAGGAACTGTCCTGCTCGGTGTAGTTCCTCACACCTGTAATCCCCACACTTGCAAGACTGAGGCAGTAATATCATGAGTTTGAGGCTAGCCTGGGCTACATAGCAAGACTGAAACCCTGTTTAAAGAAAAAAGGAGCTATATTTTAAAAACATGGCATACTATACAAATGTAGAACAGGATTTGATTACTTGATAAAAATGAAGTAAGTAGTCTTTTAAGATCAATGCAAAAAAATCAATTTAGGGTAGTCTTTGAATTTCTTATTGGAGAATATATGCTTTAAGGTTGAGATTGTAACTGCTTTTTGGGGGGCAAGGCCCTTCCCAGATTACTATTATGAAAAAGCCCCCGCATGGTTATATTACGTATGCTATGAGGTTTATAAACTTGTGACAAGGGACAGAAGGGAAATTTCTGCTCATTGCAGGGAAATCCTCACTTAAGCCATGACATGTAGAACCCATGAACCTTCATCTGACCATCTTTAGTCTACTAGGACCTGGCATATGTTTTGTGCTCCTTACCCTTGTAGCTAATTACTTCTCCACATTCTGGATGCTCAGCTGTATTACCATAGCAGGCAGATTTCTTAAACGCCTTCACACCAGGAATCCCTTGGACAGTAGTAAGATCTTCCTGCGGTCTCTCTTGTTGAAATACATGGATATCCTCAGTGCCTTCAGGAAGCAGGAAGTTGCTTTGCTAATGCATTAGCAAAGAGTTGAAAGATTGGAATTTTTGAATAATGGACATGATGATTATCTATGGAAATGGTCTCTGGGGGAGCATCGGGAAGTAAGGGTGCTGAAGGAGACTGGTGATCATGGCTTAGTGACTGGGCTATAACTGCTTTCATGTATTTTTAAAAATTTTATCATAGTCTGTTTTACTTATTTTTTGAACAAGGTCTTGCTGTGTAGCCCAGCTAGTTTCGAATTTGAGATCCTCCTGCCTCGGCCTCCCCTAGTGTTAGGATTATAGGAATGTACTACCACACTCAGCTTTGCTTGGATGTATTCTGTGAGTGCTTCCCAATCTACTTTCAGTTCATGCCATACATAGAAAATAATTTTGACTAGTACACTAAGATGAATGGGGTTGTTGGAGACTGGGAGCACCTGGCTGGACAGCTGTGCCTGAAACACTAAAAGATGAGGGAATCAATATTCTGGCATACCTATATTGCTGTGAGTCTCTGCTGTATAATGTTGCTAGAGTTCTTCAGTGCAGCTCAAGGTGGTGTTTTTCACACTTATGTGAATCCTTTGAAGCATTCTTTCCCGTTTTTTTTTTTTTCTTCCTACTATTTCTTCCTAAAACAAAGTCACGAATCACCAAGTAAGATTATAGTTAGGTTATATTTTAAGGAACTGTTTTTAAGAGAATGATGATACTTAAAATTGGCAGGAGTTAGAATAAAGAAACAGATCTACATGTAATTTTGGTAATCCAAGAAATTTAAAAATATTAAATGGAAAGTTCTTGGTAACACATTTTTATTTTTACTCTGGTTATTTGTTATACACTTTCCATTTGCAAACTGCAAAAGCATTATCTCACTAAAGTGAATTTTTTTGAGTCTAAAATTTTGAAAAGTGTAGCAGTATTGGGGTATATTTTTCAGTGAAACTAAAATTTTTGCATTTTTTAATTTTATAATTTATTTTTCTCATAGCTTGTTTAGTATTTTGGAACTTTAATCTAATATATTTTCAAGTTTATAATTTAGCTGTTTCTTTCTGACTTTACTTAAGTTAGAAGTTTTTTAAAATTTACCTTGTGTGCTTTTCTAATTTGAAACCTTCCGTCTTAAGATCTAATTAGGGTATAATACTTGATTTTTGTCAGTCTAAAAGAAGTGATATACTTGTGAGAGATGATTACTCTTTATGAGTTATGTGCATTTTCTTCCTCTTTCACCCAGTTGGGTTTTGGACTGTTGACTTGATTTGGCTAGATGGAAGGAAGTTGAGAGTTAGTACAAGGAGAGTATGAATTTGTGCTAATTTTCAGAGGGCTTAGAAGTTATTATTTTAGATTAGTCACAGTACTGCATTGCCTTTCAGTCAGGTAGTTGACTGTAGTGATAGAGATGGAATATGGGCTTTTTTTTTTTGTGGAGCTTTTTTTTTTATTATTTCTTTTATTCATATGTGCATACAATGTTTGGGTCATTTCTCCCCCTTTGTGGGACTTTTTGTTGAACTCAGGTCCTCATACTTTGGTGCTTTACCACTTGAGCCACACCCCTTGAGCCCCAATCTGATTATTTTTGAGATAGCATC